GACGGCTTATCGACTTCTTGAGAAGAAAGTAAACCTACAGACATCGGTCTTGTTTAACAAAATTCTCACTATTTGCACAATAAATATCCATAATTGGGGAAAAGTAAGAAATATCATCTTCTGCCCAAAAGTGTTTTTAATATACAATGAAAAGTATCAAGATCAGCTTTGATTATCTGGTAGTTATGAAACTACAATGATGTTGAGATGCGTGTCTCAGTTGGTTAAATACTAAAAATGGACTATATATAATGTGTGTGTGTGTCCATTTTTAGTAACACTAATAACATTTTCTTCCCATGTAATCAATTAATTAAATTATGAAATGACACGATGAATATAAGAAAAGAAAAACATTTTACCGTGTTTGAACTTTTACCATTTGTTCTAAGTGAACCTCTGTTAATCATCTGTATAATGTTTATTAGAGCACACCAATTGCAGGGTTAATGTTATTTCATTATTAAGAGGATATACTGAAATTGTTGTATAAAAAAATTCATAGAAAATATCAAGAAGTTAAATATTTTAACTGCTTTCCAACAATTCAGTTTTAAAAAAATTAAAGGCTCATAAGGTTATAAAGTAGATTAAATTAAGATGTATTTACTGTAGTAAGTGGACATTATTTAAATACCTCATCTGCAAGTTTGTGTATTCTAGTTCTAAGAAGGTGTTACCACTAAGTAGCTATCTATTCATATAAAAGAACATATTCCAGGGAAATATTAAGCAATCTTAACTAGAAATCTCAAAGAGTATCCACAAAATATTTTACTTAAGTCATTAATAATTTAAAATTGTTAATCCCTCATTTGAAATTCTTTAACTGAGAAAGAAAGTCACAAAACATTTTTGGGATGAAAAAATTAGTGTAGAGGTAGCAGTAGTAGCTCATCAGACATAAGCAAAACATTTTTTAGGACATACCATCATCATTTTGTTATATTATTAGAGGAAAAACTAAGCCTATCTTCCTTTCCTCTCAATTCTGAGGTTTGTATAGTGTAATGTAGTATAATGTAGTTTTAGAAATTTTGTAACATTTTATTAATGGTAACCAGTTTGGATGAATATGTTTGAAACTACTTACAGAATATTTTTTTATATGGTGAAAAAATAGATAGTTTCTTGTAAATAATTTTGTTTATGAGTTACAGTAATGGAATATCTGCCCTACAGCTTTATGAACCAATTACATGTCAGTATATCTAATGATATAATATACATTTTTGATATTAGGCTGTAGCCTAGAACGAGGATTTCGAGTAATTCCAAGAAGAGGAAGGCCCACCAAACAGTCCTTAAGGTCCAAACTTGCTTTCGGTAAAAGTGAAACTTATTGCTCCTACTGTAATCGTGGATTCTTCAACAAATCCTCTTATAAAAGACACATGCAATCCCATCTGGTGTTCAGGGAAGTTTTTCATTGTTCTTTCTGCTCAAAAGCCTATACTCTAAAAGCTAATCTTCGAGCACATGAGAAGAAGATGCATGGCATAGTGATTTCAGTAAGGGATGAAGGAACATCAGATTAATTTGTTCTGTGAATTCAGTAAAAGTAAGATTGAAATTCATTAATTGCTGTATAAGTTACAGATTGACTAATGAATATATCTATGTGGATTATCTTATACTCTGCTTACAGATGGTATCTATATCAAATCAATAAATGATGTATTTTAGATTATTTCTGCTGAAGTCTCATTTTTATAATTTCTTAAGCATAATGTTGGGATTATGATTGTATACCAGGAAAGTAAACAAATAAATGAAAATGATCTGTCAGTGATGGCTAGCATTGATGCCCTAGTTTAGCTTTGTGAAAATAGTAATGCAAACCAAAAACTATTCTCTAAAGAAACAAGCTGAAATTATACATGGTGGCGAAATAGTCACACCCCATAGAGATTTTGAATAACAATAACTTTTGTGTTTATTAATATAAATATTTGAAATGCTGGCCATTATCAGTAATTGCTTCAAAGTTAATGGCTAGCAATTTAAACATTTATTTTAATAAATTAAAAGTGGTTATCTTTTTATTCTTATTCATAATCTCTATGGTGTGTAAATTTTGTGCCACCCTGTACATAAATATGATCCTAACACGAGTTCTAATTCCTTAAGAAAGTTTCAGTCAATAGTACATGGATCAACTAGCTTCACTACTATATATTTTCTATACTCTAAAATAGTAGATGGTGACACGTTATTTAATCAAATATATAAATTACCAATATTGATGTCCATGTCTGCAAATATGTATTTAATAGTACAGATATTTCATCCCAACAAATGATCAGAAAACATTTGTTAATAAGGAGTATGATCACCTCTAATACAAGTTACATATAATTGTGGCCAGCTTTAAATAAGTACATCATTGAGTTGCTGGGATAATGTGGCCCATTCCTCTATCATTGATACTGCTAGGAGATGAATCACATTTTGCTATTGTATACAGGCTGACTATATATATTTGTGGTATTTCCAGTGAAAAATCAATTTTCTGACAAGTATCAGATAGAATTTTTATAACTGGAAAACTTTGACAGAATGCTTTTCTTAATTTGTGAATAAACATACTGGACAAGTTTTGAACAAGCAAGCAGAATCTTTATTCAAACAATAAAACTTAGTTCTTGTACCCACAGATGACAGCCATTGCTCCGTCCACTAGTTAGTTTTCTTGCCCTCTACTGAATACTGCAATACTAAATAAGTCGTTACTGTAGATGAACTAGGAGAGAACTGGATAAAGAATATTTCTGCATTCTAAACTTTAATTTTCTTTCTTTGTCTTGTGGAAAGCATCACCTTGTGATCTCTGTTCCTTCACAGCAATGTCACATCAGTTTCAGTTGACATCGTAATTAGCCAGCAAAGGATATTCAAATTTAAACTCATTTAACCTATGCTGAATGCACAGCACTGAATATAACAATCTTTTTGGACAACATGGGACCTATTGGCTCATCTCAGCTGTTCCATCCTCTAAACTACATTAAAATAATTAGAAGAAAAATCTTAAAGTCAGCCCTTATCATTCATATACTTATCAAGCTTTTTCTTAAACTCACTTAAACCTACTGCCTCTACAACATCTGAAGGCAACCCATTCCAGAGCCAAGCATTATGTTAGTAAAATAAAACTAATATATATATATATATATTTGTATCCCCTAGTCCTACTATTCCACTGTTAAATATGAAAAAAAATAATGCATCAACACTATCAATTCCCTTTACAATCTTAAACACTTCAATCAGATCACCCCAAATCTAGAGAAAACAATTTCAGCCTCTTCTCATGTGACAACCACGCACCATTCTAGTAACCCTTTTTTACAATTCAATGTCTTTCCTAAGGTAAGGAGTCCAAATGCAGCCTAACCAATGACCTGTACAATGAAATTATAACCTCTTTAGACTTGTATCCAATATTTCTTTAGATACAACCTAAAATCCTATTTGCCCTACCACTAGCAACAGTACACTGCTTGGAAACAGATCAACTATTACACTAAAATCCCCTTCCTTCATAACACTATTAAAGTTATTCCCATCCAAATTATACTTAATTCAAATTATGATAACCCACATGCATTATCTTGTATATATTATAATTAAAACCCATCTGCCATTAATTTGGCCAACTTACTAAATGATCTAAATCCTTTTCTAAATCAGCAGCATCCTCTTCACAGCTAGTAACACCCAAGACATTAATATCATCAGCAAATTTAATTAATTTATTGACTATTCCTTCATGTACGTCATTGACGTAAATCTAAAAGAGAAAAGGTCCAAAGACTGAGCCCTGAGGTACCCCACTTGTGACAGTAATTCAGTTTGGCTGAACTCCATTTGTAACAATCCTCTGCTTTCTTCTATCCAATTTGCTAACTTATCCACCACACCTATAGTGATAATTTTCTGAAAATCTAGATACACCCTTACCCTCATCTACATAAGCAGTAACCTTTTTTAAAGAACGTCAGAAGATTTGTAAGGCAAAATTTTCCTCTAGTGAAACCATGTTGACTATCCAATAAAATTCTAAAATTTGTTAAATGACTTTGCAAAGCATCTTTTAACAGACTTTCCAAAACTTTTCCCACAATTGATGTAAGACTAACGAGTCTATAACTACTGGGACAATTTTTATCACCTCCCTTGAAAGGAGGAGTTACATTATCTAACTTCCAATCCTCTGTTACCTGCCTACTATTCACGAACTAACAAAAATAGTAGTAAGTAGTTCACATATCCAATCCTCCTTCAAAACCCAGGAGCCTTATCGTTTTTTAAATTTCCCAATTTTTCTTTAACCAGCTCAGAATTAATACAGTCATCTTTTTTGATCTAGATTCCATTTATCAACTGTTCAAGATGTGGAATACTGCTTAATCTTTTTTATTAAAAAAGAAGAAAAAGCAAAATTTAATAACCCAGCCATCTCGTAATCATCAGACACTACCCTTCCTTTATCATCTCTCAAGGGTCCTACCCCATCCTAACATTTTGTTTACCCTTAATGTATTGAAAGAAATCCTTACTGATAATTTTTACAGTTTCAGCCAACCTTTTCTCATACATCCTTTTTGATGTCCTAATTTCCTGTTTCACCTACTTTCTTGATCTTCTAAGTCTCCTGTCATACCAGTCAATTTAAATGTCTTAAACTTATGATGCTTTTCTTTAATTTTATGTCTTAAACTTTTTTGTGAGCCAACCTAGTTTTTAACTTGCAGCTACCCTTTTTGTTCTATAAGGAATATGTTTACCTTGAATATTTAAAAATTTATCTTTCAAAATTTCACACATCTGATCAGTGTCTCCAAATAAATCAGCTGCCCAATTCACAACAGATAATTCTTGTCACATCCCTTCAAAATTTGCTTTTTGAAATTTATAACCAAAATATCATTATTCCTTATTTCCATATGTAGCAAAACATGGAACTTAATAGAGAAATGATCACATGTACCCCAATTTCCACCCTCTTGATCATTCATGTATTTGAAGTTAACAATAAATCTAAAATAGCATTATTTCTAGTAGGTTCCTTGACTAATTGAAGAAGGCCATCCTGAACAGTTTCCAAAAACCTTTCTCTCTCATGGTTTGACTCTTAGAATTTCCCAATCTATATGCCTGAAATTAAAATCACCCATAATTATGACTTCATTAACAGCTGAAATCGTAATCTCATTGTAGTTTCTCACTAATTTCATCATTTGGTGGTCTGTAACAAATTCCCACTAAAAGCCTTTTTCCTTTATATCCACCAATAGAAACCCAAATGTATTTAATCTCCTTGCTATTATCTTTCATATCCTCAACTTCAACAGGATGTAACTCACATTTTACATATAAAACCACTCCTCTCCTCTTTAATGCTCTATCCCTATTAAATAGCTTGTAACCCTGTATTTCATTTTCAAAAAATTTCTGTCATCAAAATTACCTACATTTAACTATGTTTCAGTTATTCCCATTAGATCAAAATCTTCCATTCCTACCAGTGCTCTAAAGTCATCTATTTTATTTCTTATACTTCTAGCATTACAATAGTAACAATTAAGCCTACCCTTAGAACTACTTCTATACTCATTGCCTATGCTAAACTTTTCTCTGCCTTTTATTCATTTTGTATTTAGTTTTTCCTGGCCCTCACCACTGTCTAGTCCTAGTTTAAAACTTCCCTTACAGCTGAGTTAATAGCCTTGACAAACAAGCCAGACCCTACCCTATTTAAATGTAAACCATCCATTCCAAAAAGCTCCCTTCTTCCACTAAACTGACCCCACAAGTCCAACCAGCCAATCTGCTCATCCTTGCATACTAACCTAAGCCTAGCATTTAGCCCTAGTGACCTACTTATAGTTATAACTTGATCCCCACAGTTAATTCTGGGCAGTATCCCTTTTTCTTTAAATGCCTTTATCAACCCCTTGTACTTATTAATTAGCTCCTCTAACCTACCTTTCCCTACATCATTAGCCCTACATGCACCATAAAAACTGCATCTCTGCTAGCCCCTTTATTATACCTTCTGCTCTGTCATTTACATCCTCCACCTGGGTAGCATAATCGGATTCTTTTCTCCCTATTTACCGTGCAGACTATTATCTCCACATGCCTTGTCAAGGAATCACCTATAACCTTATCATCCACATCCTTCTCCGACTTTTGTTTTCCTTCCCTCCAATAGTTCCTCATCTGCAGAAACCAAGGGCTGAAATTTGTTGCTCAACAGAATAGACTCATTATAACTAAATTCACTACTTTTTAGTTTTACTCTAATAGTACTCTTTCTAACTTCCTGAAAGTTGATGTATCCCTTGCATGTAAAAGCTTAAGCTCCTCCTGAAATCCTGCTGCCATTTCCCACAATCTACACTTCTCTTTATCTATTGCCTCTACTTTAATCATGATTACCTCCAACTAACAAACTCAACCTAAAAATTGCACATCTTCATTATTAGCTTCCTTAAAAGTACATTCCAGTTCCGAGTTCCCAAATAAAACCCACTCATTGCACCTAAGAAACTGTGAAGGGTGTGGGTAAAAGTCGGAGGTAGCTTTTAAAATGTCTTCAGACAAATGAAATGCATCTTTCATGTACCTACAGTCTCAGCATAGTGGCTCATATATTTTCCGCCAATTTAGGTCGAAAACTGTCCCCTGGGTCGAGTTTGGGCTCCCCGAGGTGTTGAGGGTAGCTTTTAAAATCTCTTCAGACAAATGAAATGCCTTTATCATGTACCTTATCTTTATCAAGTTTTGTCTGAAGTGTTGTAATTAAATCAAATAAGTTTTGTTACTGAATGTTTGCCTTTCGGACACGAAAAGTCTACATTAAAATTAATGCAAACTTTGCATATATTTTTTAATAACATAACATTGTTATGCTGAAATTTTCACACACACCAGCCCCAACAGCCTTATTAACAAACTGGATTATTATCTGACCGTCGTTTCTCAAATTCTAGTATCTGTTATATCAGTGGTAAGGCCTTTTAATCAACGAAACAGCACATATCTCACTAACAAAATCTTTATACGTGTTAAGTCTGATAATATCATTTTTTCATCCTCGCTTTTTGTAAAAATTATAACTGTTATTATTATTTGGCTTGTTATTACACATCTATAAATTATAATATCTATTGTCCTTTCTGTGACAAATGTATGAATTTCAAGTCGATGGGACAGTTTTCGATCTAAATTGGCTAAAAGTAAAAATACTTGCGACGCTACGCGGAGAGTCCGTAGTTACACGATAAAGGCAATTTCGTTTGTCTTAAGACATTTTAAAAGCTACCTCCGACTGTACCAGTAATTTGAAATATACCTAAGCCTAAAGTACCCTTACACGTACTAAGCCTATTTAACTATTTTAAAGTCATAGTAATAATGTAGACCACTAAATTCTAACTTAAAACTTTGACCGTCTTACTTTTATTTAGCAATCTTATTGTATCCAGTTATTATTGTGTTATTTAACCCAAATTACTACAAATCATAATAATAATAATATTAAATAACTTTCAGAAATCTACAATACTAATAGCTTAACTTTTCAACGTCCTCCCCTTCAGTCGCGCCCTCTACTTACTGAAGTACCCTTGTGGACAAGACAATTTCATTCACCAAAAACAAATGGATGAAGAGACTAGAACAAGACAATGTTACTGCCAACATCCCAGAACCATGTGTTGCCTCCACAATTGTATGGAAACTGACTAATCACTAATTTAGAAAAATTCCACGTTACTATAAAAGTAGAAGACCATTATATGCCTGCATAACACATCCTTCTCTACTCTCTCTCTCAGACTGACAATTAACGTTTTAAAATAATTTAGGTTTCAATTGGAGACAAGATCAAGTATGTGTATTGAAGTTATTCCTAAAAACGCGTGACACAAGCACCACAAAACCCTTTAACGCAGAATTACAATCATTACTTTAACAATATCATGAATATTAAATCACAATATAATAAAATCAGCAATAAATCCTTAATAAATGAAAGCATAAAACACTAGAATATTAAGTCACATACTTGATAGGCCCCCCAGTGGCACAGTGGCATGTCTGCGGACTTACAACGCTAGAAACTGGGTTTCAATACTCGTGGTGGGCTGAGTACAGATAGCCCTTGTGTAGCTTTGTGCATAATTAAAAACAAACATACTTTATACATCAATAATATACATATTAAAACAAACATTAAATTACATGCTATATATTTGCGTTTAAAAATGATACAGATTATGTGAGCACATTATTACATTGACAGAAACTAAAACCAAAAAGAAAGAAAATGCAGTTACCCTGTCTACCTTATGAAAAGTTCACAAACCATTTCAGCAATTCATGGTTCACTTAAGCAGTGAAAGTTTTACCATACAAGTACCACCAAATTCAAATAGTTATTCCTTTGTGTTCAGGAGCTGTGAGCATACGACTATCTCTCCCAGCTGCAGTCATCCCTCGTTGGATGTAGCTCTCCTTCAGACCACTGCATTATTTCCTATTCTTAACATACCGTGTCCATCTGATTGCTACTTACCCCACTATACTATCCCTCTTTTGCCTTCCCTTGGATCTTTTCCCTGTCTTAGGTTGCCACTCTATTGTTCTTAATGTCCACCTATTATCGATATACCTTGCTGCATACCCAGCCCATTTCGATTTAGTTCTTAGAATGAACCTTAACGCATCTATTATATTTGTTGTTTTTCTTATTCTGTCATTTCTCCATCTTTCTAGTAGTGTTATACGAAGTATTTTTCTTTCCATTCCATACTCTGACTGGACTTTAGCCTTTCACTAACACGTTGGCCGTGCGTGTTGTTAGTGGGTATTTTTATAGTGAAATCATCACTCGCAGTACTTCGCTAACTGAAATAGTTACTGCCAGCCATTGATCAAAATGATTCTTCTGCCTGCTAGAATGCTAACTCTGACCATCAATGACGTAAGTTACCAAGCGCTCAGAGATAACATACATTAGCCTACTGTCACTGACTTCATCGTTCCCTGGTATGAGGCTCTAACCAGGTACTGACAACCGGAGCTACCTGAGCCAGGAACTCGCGATCTGGGCAAGGTCGTTACTCTCTGAAGCAGCACTAAGTGTTACCCGCTACCCATACGACTAGTGTATGCAAATACACATTAAACTCCGGTATGCAACTACAATAACACTACTGTGATTTCACTATCAGTATACAACAGGAATTAACAATCTTTTCGTGGTTATGCCAACATTCTAAAGCACATCAAATACAAGAATACATACTCGCATTTCTTACTCCATCTGAAGTACACCTCTATCTTAGTAAGAAGCACTGATGGTGAGACGATTTTGAAGAAGTTGACCACACACTGACAGTAATACAACATGAAATAAAGAAAACTAGACTTCTCATTTGGTTACAAGTTGAGGCCAATCTTGCATCACTGCTATTTTAGCATGATTCATGGAGATATCTTCTCTACCAAACATATGACTGATATATTCTGCTTCCATGCACTTGAATGCAAATTTTCCTGGTTTCAGTTTCAATCCTGCCTTTTTTATACATTAGAATATCATTTCAAGTTCTTATCTGTAGCCACGAACCAAGACATTGTGAACATAAATCAGGTACTTTTCTCATATAAACTCCTTGAGTATAAGGTCCGTTAGCCTCTAGAAAATGGCGGACATGTTACACAGGCTGAACGGCATAATGAAAAACTTATACAAGACATCTCTCGTGCTAAAAACAGTCTTACATATGCTCTTGTTAACCAATTCAACTTGCCATTATTCAGATACCCAGGCCTAAAGGACTGATGCAATGGAAAGACGTCAACATGAGTTCCGTTTTAACCAAATTAAAATCTATGCAGAACTTGGGAGTATCTTTCTTCTTTCTGACAATCACAATTTGAGCCCGTTCAGAAGGTTGTATAATTTCGTATCTTAACATCTACTATATTTTAGAGCTAACTACCTGTCTAGTGCTTCAGGGAAGACTGTGTGATGATTATTTAATTTTGATGTGTCTGTATCTGTGTCATGTTGTGTGATTGTGGTTCGACCCACTCAGTTATCTGATCTTATAAATACATTAGCTTATTCTGCCAACAGGTCACTGAGTTGCTACCACTGTATTCAGTGTGGATTGTAAGCACAATCCTGATCTAGGAATCTCAGTAGTTATTTTGGATGCAGCATGATGGACATAACCCCATTGTTCCTGCTAGCATTGTCTACATCTACTTTGCTTACCATGCCAATAATCATTCCATTGTGTAGTTAGATAAGTGATCATCCAAAATTACAGAACAACACCACAACTATATCACTCATTGGATAGATGACTATCCAAAGTAATTCTGCTTGCTTTTTGGACAGGAAACAGCTTATATCATGTGTGGATTTAATAATCCCATTACACTAGAATCACAAGAACTTGTCCACAGTAAGCCATGGAACATCACTTTGTTACATGGGAGTACTGTGACTTCCTCTCTATCCCATGTACATGCATAGAGTTCTCTACTCTTTGGGTCCATCTGGCTAGCATCGAATAACTACCATGGATGATCAATTCACCCATTGCAAAGGTGAAATTGACTGTTAAGCTCTGCAATATATATGTTCCAAGAATGCTAAAGCCAGAACAAAGGCCTTTAAAACTACCTTCATTCTACAAATGAAATCACCTAGACATAGTCAGAGTATGACCTCTCTATTCATGTATAGTCTATTTCTTACTTGCCAAAACAGAGTTTGTTTCAATACAACCAAGTGATAGATTTGATAGGAGTTTCTGATATACCACGAAATCTACTTGTGTTTTGGATGTTCCTGTGTCTTGCTCTTCTACATCGATAGGCATTTACCAAGGTCCAAGACAGACCACCACATGTCATACTTCAAGCTGTTTGTTGCACTCCCCAAACTTGGTGGCCAGTTATGACTTGGGCTCTTTAGTTTCCCAGAACTACAACTGTAGTAACTGTTATCTGATGTTGGTTTTCATGAACCTGTTGCACTATCAGTCGAAACCAATAGCTTTTTTTCCTTGCCTTGCTTCTCCCTTCCAGGATGATGTGTGGGCAGAGGTATTAGCAACACATGTTGTAACATATAAGCCCTGGGAGGAGTTGGAAGGTCCTACTACTTCACTGAATGCTAATGTGGTTGTATCACAATGCTGAGATGTGTGAATGGTTTGTTCACCCCACTGAGTTCGAATACAGCATGACGTGAATGCCCGAGTAGGACAGTCTGTTCAAAATATACTCACTGTAACTGCTGCTACAGGCTCTTTCTCTATTGCAACAGGCCTAAAGTTACCTCTTCATACTACATTGTAAC